TAAGGGAGATTGCTGTCAATCTCCCCTAACAAAGGGGAAATTGGCCGTGGGAAAAGACAAAAGATTGAAACAGACCCACTTTATGTATTTTTTTTTTATTATTTTTCAGTCAACTTGAAAAACTGCATCCTGAAGGATGAATATTTGAACCCAGTAAGATAATACTAACAGTATGTCAAATTAATTATTTTTCTTCTATGCATAGTAGTTCTGACAAAGAAAAATAGAATCCAAAATATCATTGAATAATTCATTGCCAACTTACATCTTTGCAGTTTTCAGACCTGGAGAAGTGAACAAGATCCTCATTATACATGTCCTGAGTGCTCATCAGGTCACTGTATTCTGTCTGACTAAGGTCCTCAGGATTGATCCCATTTGCCCTTAGGAATTCCTGGTATGCCACACTGAAAGCCTGACCAATGGACTGGGCAATCAACTGAGCCTGGGAAAATTACAAACTTAGAAATAAATAATTCAAGAGTAACCCAAAGGGAGATAACATAAAATTAGCTAAAATGCCATGATAATCGACAGAACTCACATCTTCAGATTCAAACACATGGCAAATCATCTTGTGCTGGTGCTTACTGTCCTGACTTGGGTCTGAAACCTCCACATTCTCCTGAGAGTCACAGTGAGGCAACCTTCTCCTGGCCATCAGAACCACAATGTTGCCAATATCAGCAATGTAGGAGATGGTTCGCAAAGCATTGTCTATCATGGTTTCCTTAAAAACAAACCAAAAAATAAAAATAAAATAATTTTGTGGTTCTCAAAACAGATTGTGACTGCAAAGTGGAATGTTTTAACATGATCTCCAGAAAACAAATTAAATGTAACAATTATAAATTAAAACAAGAAGGGCATTTTTTATTAGATGTTTTACAAGAGAAGGCAACATGAGTCAATCAGTTGATTTAAGCCCATTTTCATTTGGCTGCTGCAAGATCTTTGGATCTGTCCATTCCTGGTATTAACTTTCATCCTGACAGAATGAGATAAAAGTACAGACTAAAGCTTGGTAATTCTCATCTGACGGGATCAGACTTCAGTTAGCCTCATAGTGCAAAGAAACACTGAGACACTCCATATGCTGATGGCATCATCCACAATTTACTGATGTTTTTGTAAAATCACTAATGTGATATGTCACTTGCACTGTATTATTGTTTTTAACACTGTTGTGGCTGTTTTTAAATGTAGCTCAACAGACAGTGAGAATAAAAATGTTTGACTGCACCGAACTCTGCTAAAGACTTTATCCTCCACTGACTTTACAGTTCCCTGGCATCTGTCAAGTGTTTTATACACCCCCGGCCTTAGCAGTGTGTAATGGTGAATGATAGCATCACACAAGACCATAAAGCTCATATTCTTATGTGATTGATAGGATATTTAACTATAATTTAGGTAACATAAACCCCCCAAAAAGGTCCAAATAAGCTCACTCCAGTTCCTCAATTCACTGATCGATAAAATAAAAAAAGGGCAGTGTTTCCCAACCCTGGCCCTCAAGGCAAACTGCCCTGCATGTTTTAGGTGTTTCCTTGATTCACCCAGGTGATTTCAGCTGATGGGTGATTAACAGGTGTCTGCTGAACTTCAGTCAGTTGAATCGGGTGCATTAAAGCAGGGAAACATCCAAAACATGTGTGCCTTGGGAAACACTTCTTTAGAGTGTCCTCTTAGAAAGCGTAGAAATATTTGAAAATTGTCAGAGATTTACAGTTACAAAATGTTTTTTGTAAACTCGGAGATATCCAGGTATTAATTCTGCCACTTAAGTGCGGGGTCTGAGAATAACTCTCCAGAAAATGTTTTGAGATATGAATTTATTCACAGCATGGACATGATATAATCACCCAGGATGACCATTAGTGTCCAATATAAACAGGGTCAGTGTAATCCCTTCCTAATCTAGTTATCTTGGTTATTCCATTTGGAAATTCCTTCCTCCCTGACTGCAAGGGCTTTCTAATAAATATCAGGGTTATATTTACTAAAAGGAGCATGAGATAACACAGTCAAGACATTAATTTCATCTTTAGGATGCACTGGAGAAGAATTTGTGCAGCAGCCTGACTACCATCATCTATACAGGATCTTGGTGAAAAACAATACAAGTTTGGACAGAAATAAATGCCAATTAAAGCTAAAGGCAGTTCAGCTAATATCAAAATGTGCAACAGGCAGTGTATAAGACTGTTAAAACAGTGAGGATGCTATATTGCGTTTTGCGTCCGTCTGAATGTTTACCTGGGAGTCTGCATTGAGCACCTTGATTCTCTGAGTGGAGATAAAGAGATCCACCTCTGTTATGGGCTGAGGCTCAGCCTGAGGTCAGAAACAAACAAGTAGTGATTTCTACAACACAGAGACATAACTGTAAAACAACTACAGTGAGTTAAAATGGTTAATCTGGGCTCCCTGTCAAAAGACTTCAGTAAATCCCTATTTAATCACTGTTAGTGATGCTGAGGTTCTTAGTAGGAGGGGATCATGGAGCCTAAGTCATGATTCTGTCTAAGGCCCCATATTACCTTGGGCCAGCCCTGCATGAAGAGCAAGCTGCTGCGCTGCGAATCTCTGTGCTGGAATCTAGCTGGAGTCTCTCGGTAGCCCCTATGCCAGTCAGCTGATGCTTTTGGGATATTTTGATTTATTTAATTGTGGCATGTTTGGCTTTTGCTGCGGTCCAAATTGTTGGTACAGTATTTTCACTTACGTTTATGTGATATTTTGTGAGCTCCAAATGCTATGAGCCGAATCTTTTAATCAATGAGAATGCATTACTGCATTCTCACTTATTAAGATCCTGCTCACATTTTTCGGTCGATTCAAATATAAAAATGTTCTGCTTCTTTTGCTCCTTTATGCTATTTGTTTTGCTATGTTTCACTTCTTCAAATATTTCTGGTTTTGTACTAATTTCTGCTTCTGCTAATTTATGCTTTTTGCTATGTTTCACTGTTCAACGGTTTCAAATATGTCTGGTTTTGTACTAATTTCCACTTCCTGTGCTAATTATGCTATTTATTAAGCTCTGTTTCACTTTTTGACTTTTTCAAATAATTCAAGTTGCACACAAACTTCTGCTTCTTCTGCTAAATTTTACTATACCTTTGCTAAATTTCATTACTAAACAAAATATTTCTGCAATGTATGACTGTAGCTTTCTTCTGCTTTTTTCTACTTCTACTGTTTGTTCTCATGTTTCTTGCATTTCTGCATCAATCATTCTGCACATATGCATTCTCACAGCTGTTTCTCTAGGAACAGCAATTTTTCTAGTTAGCAGTTGAGGTTCTGCAGTAACTTCTATTCACAACCGCTCACCTCCAGCGCAGAACCCATCAACAGTGGTACAAACCGCCTGGTAGTACTAAAGTTAGGTTAAAGTGCGCTCACACTGAGTAGAGACTCAGCAGAGGCTCGGAGCAAATCTTCGCTTGCAAAGCTCTCTTGTTCACTTGGTGGAATTTTCCTGCCATAATTCAAGAGCACACATTTCAATCTGAAAACAGGATTTTATGCCTTTTGTTCTCAAAGCATTTATACTGTAACAATTCTGTGTTTTAGTTCTGCTGGTGGTGTGTTGGCTTCATTACAATACTTTTGCTTACATTTTTATTTTGAAAACAGGACTTCATGTCTTTCGTCTCAAAACTTGTAATGCTTGTTGTACTCAAAACTTCTCCTGGCGTTCAGACTTGGTCTCTGCTTGGACTCTCTACTCACTTATGAAACATGGAACTGGCTTTTGGCACAGTCGCATAGCAACCTCTCAGCCAATAGGATGAAAGTGTTGTACTGGGAGTGTTTGTTTCCTTCTAGGG